TATACACCTGGGTGGAGAGAGGCACTGTGAGAGTAAAGTGTCTCGCCCAAGAACACAACACAATGTCCCCCGGCCAGGGCTCGAACCCGGACCGCTCGATCCGGAGACGAGCGCAGTAACCACGAGGCCACCGCGCCTCCCTAAAAGGCACGCCGCAAAAGCTCCCACTGTGGACCTTTTGAGGCTGAAGTGCCTATTAAAGAGGTATCTAAACCGTTTTTTAATCCCTATAAGGTACGACGGGTACCCCGCCCTTTTTTTTTTTTACATGATTTCTCCTTTCCTCGCCCGGGTTATGGAGCTCTTCCTCTTTGACTCCAGCTACAAATTCCTTCTCTGTTGAAACATACATATATGCTTTTTCTCAGGTTGCACTTTACTCCTTTTGAAGTGTGGGCTACAGGCGAACATCGTTGCGTTAATAGTCCTGATATATGCTGTTTCTGTCACGTTTGTTATACTTTGTTTCTCTCGACTTTTTAGCGATCTACTATCTACTGCACACTGCTAGGCTACTCACTATTTACAATAGAACAGATAGTGAGTACCGTAACCAATCAGAGAACAGCATTCGTCATAGAATACTAATACTGAACAGACACCCGGCAACACCCGGGGGAGGATACTCCACATATATCCGCAAGGAAATAGAATTTAGAATTTATATATAGTTCTATATGGGGAGGCTCCGCCCCGAGTTCCAACCCCTTGAAATGAAATGATACAGCTATAAGGCACGTCTGTTCGTAATAGATCCTTTAAAATAACTAAATGCCAAAGTTCTTCACCCTTTCACATACCTGAATTTGTGAAATCCCTGCCGTTTCATATACCTGAAGCCTGAAAATGGTACCCCTTTCGGGCGGAGCCTCCCCATATAGGCCACTATGGGGAGTAACCCCCCCCCCCCCCCCCCCCCCCNGGCCCCGGCGGCAACATTGCATCTATTTGTTGTTTATTGCGTGCGACGCTAATCAGATCGCGTGAGTTACAGTTTCGTGTCCTCTGACTAGTACAGTACAGTGATAGTGCAAAATAATATTCAGCTTGGTAATTTCAAACAAGTTGAGTACAACTTTCCGCGTTTTATGGTACACTAGATAATTAGGAAGGATCGTAATTTATCACCAAACCACTTAATTATCATATTGGCTTGCGAGCATTCTTTTCAACAATAAGACGCAAGCGGCCAGTGGAGCTTGCATTGACATAAACTTGCAAAGTTATGCTTCGCACTTGTTGCACTCCTTGACCTGGAACTAATAGCTTGGCTTATCCTTTAAGAAGAGACGAACTGAGCACTCGCACGATGCATTCGTTGTGTCTACAAATCAATTCGACTGTGAAGCTGGAATCTTATCTGTTTGATTAAATCGCGTAATAATAACGAGATGACACAAAGTTCTGTTGCCAATTAATCTTAGTGAGAAATCCCGGCGAGAAACAAAGTTTGAAGAATAATACCCCCCGTCATATAAACATTACGGTGAATAAGTCATGACAGCTTAATGTTTTTAGTTCCAGTACAGTTGTTGGGCTAATTATTTCATGTACGGCACTTTAATGAATACAATTGTACTGTATAAATTGTACAAATTCTGACAAGCTATGTGCAATAAAGGGGGAAAGCAGCTCTTAAGTGCTGTCATTTTCCAAATGACGATACTTGCATATTACTTATCATTACTATTGGTGAATTTTCAAATAAGGAGCTAAATAGTCACTCGAGAGCGCAGTTCGTGATCAAAAACAATTAGTTACTTTTTCGTACATTAGTAACATAGTCACGCGATCCCGTATATTGGCTATATGAAGTATGTGCGGCGGCATAGGGTATGGTTTCTTCCCAAATCTATCCAAAATTTACGGGAGTACCCCCCTCCCTGGGATAAAATGATATCTTTCAGGTATCAAATGAAGCTTCAGCTACGCTTGGAATGATATAGTTTAAGCATTTGATTTAACATGGGAGTTCCTCTAAGGTAGTATTTTAATTAACGTCTAAGTCACTAATCTGAGCAACACGATGATATGACAGGGCAACAACAAAAAGGCAATTACATAAAACAATTCACATTAGCTTCGGGCTTTTGAGCTGATGAGCATTTACGTTAAAAAAAAAAAAAAAACACTCGCGCCACCATCGATCGCGACTCGTTCGCATTCGTTTTCCTGCGCTTTGTGTAGGCTACATGTATTTTCTCTGAGTTTTAATTGGTTCACTGGGGTGTCGGCGTAATTGATGATATATCTGTGACTGGCCGCGGAGCGATTACTCTTGGGTTTAGTTCTACGATATTGAATACTGCTCTATCATTCACAGAATGAATACTACGACAAGGGTCGTCCTGATGCTGTTTTTGCTGTTGATGGTGGAAAGATCTTCATCTTCACCTGTGAAGGTTAACAAAACCAAAGTCCTCATCCTTGGCGCTGGACTCGCGGGAATCAAAGCAGCGAAAACACTGCTGGACAAAGGCATCACTGACTTTCTGATCCTTGATGGAAAGAATTACACTGGAGGCAGAATACATGCTGTGCCATTTATGGGTTTGAATATCGAGGCAGGGGCGAACTGGGTTCATTTCACAGATGAAGAGTTCACAGCCCCACTTGTGAAGCTGAAAGATGCCAAAAAGATGAATGGCATTCGTTGTAATTACTCCGACTTTGTTGTGAGGTAAGATAGGTCCTACAAATTCGGTCTGGATAGGTCACGACAACTTCACTGAGAGACAAGAATAGCGATATTTCCACTCGGTATGAAAAGGTAAAAAAGAAAGAAAGAAGGAAAGAAAAAAGAAATAAAAATTGGAGTAATGTGTTTGCTATTATTAAGTCACACGTAAGGCAAGATTTTCAAAATTCCCCCTAGGTCAAAAGTTCCAACATTTTCGAGGTATCAACTTTACCCAGAGTTGTTGTCATAGTAGCTGCTGATTTAGATGTTTATAGAAGGCTAAAAGTTACTAAAATTTTAAAAACCAAAACGTTTTCGACCGTACGGTCATCATCAGTGGTACATGATGGAAATTTAGAATTGTTAGACAAAACTGGTAGAAACCAGGAGTCCACCTTCCAAGGTACGATTCAAGTCAAACGTTTGCTCAGCATAGTATTCCGACATTTGGAAAACCATGTGGAACATTGCAGTATGTTGCTTTGTAATTTTGGTTGCAATGTGACAATGTCCCAGGGGGTACTCCCAGAAAAACTGGGTGGGGGTGTGCGGCCCACTTCGCAAAAGCCTTACCCTATTTATGAACAAAATCTGCGATCTTCCTTACCCTATTTATGACCTGACCAAAAATTTTATATCCTACTTTATGACCGTTACGGCTGGCACAGTTGCCCTTAACATAATTTGCGAAGAGCTTTTGTTGACGTTCTTATCGACAATGATGAAAAAGTAGCTTCTTCTAAAAACATACCTAGTTCAAGAAAAGAGTGCAAAAACCATTCCCTATTTAAGACCAACATGACAAAATCGACACCCTATTTATGACCAAAACGGCTAAAAAACCATACCCTTTGGGGCTGCACATACCTGCATAGCCTACGTAAAGGAGTGCCCCCCGCGGAGGCAATGTGTCGTAACTAGAACCAACAATGTGGTAAGAGTTGGATCAAAATGTCTCTGGGCCATTTAACCAGAGATTAACATCTTCAGGAAGGACGGAGACTGAAAGTGCAACGGACACATCAGAGAATTTAAAATTCCTATGACAAACTTAAATTGAGGATGGGATAATTCTTTGCTTTTCGGAATTAGCCAAACGGCATGAACGCATTATATATGTACCCGGTAGATATTACAGTGAGAGATGGTGTATATCTAATATTATAAAATAATTGAGATACTACGCGCACTCTCATTGGTCGATTGGTTTGTTTAGATGAGAGTATGTAAACACGGTTCCGACGTTTTAGATTCGCGCGTACTTTTGAGAAACATTTTATAAAAGCAATAGAGTACTTTTTCCGTGTTTACATAGCCTCATCTAATCACTCATCAGGAGGCTGCGAGAATTCTCGAAAGTTATGCAAACCCTCGACTGCGTTTCGGGTTTGCCTAACTGTTTCGAATTCTCCCAACCCTCCTCGTGTTTGGATGAGGCTATATAGACACGGAAAAAGTGCTCTATTGCCTAACTGATACTACATAAACCACATAATTGAACTTATTTATGATTTTCACAGGGACGAAGAAGGCAATGATATCACTGATTTATCAGTTTCCAAGGATTATCATGACAAAGTAGAAGGACGTGTTGAACAATACTTGGAGACAAGGAAGGAGAAAGGGTCTCCAGATATTCCAGCTCGTGTTGGTCTTCAGTTGATGGGGTGGAAATCCGGAAAACAATCCATCAGAAAAGTAGTAGAGTACTTCAACTTTGATTTTGAGTACGCAAAGCGTCCAGAACTGGTGTCTTTTTACCAGGTGTTTGAACGTGGAGAAGACTTTTTTGTTACCGACCGGCGAGGGGTTTGGTTCATGTATGAAGATCTCTACAAACCTTTGACCAACCGAATTCTATTGGGCAAAACCGTGACAGAAATCAAGTATTCTGACACATCAGTTGAAGTTACCACATCCGATGGAGACAAATTTGCCGCAGATTACGCCCTGTGCACGTTCAGTACTGGAGTGCTGGCCAGCGACATGGTGACTTTTAACCCACCCCTCCCTGAATGGAAAAGGGAAGTGATCTTTAAAAACCCGATGTCGGTATACACGAAAATCTTCCTGAAATTTCCAAGCAAGTTCTGGGACGATCACGAATATATCCTGTATGCCTCTAAAGAGCGAGGTCGTTTCCCTGTATTCCAAGACTTGGAAAGACCAGGCATTTTACCAAATGGCAGCAACATTTTATTGGTCACTGTAACGGAGGACGAAGGGAGAAGGATTGAACAACAAGCATACAACGAAACCAAAGCAGAGGTCGCGAAAATGTTGAGGTCAATTTACGGACAGGGCATTCCTGATGCAACAGGTAAGGATGAATAGCTTATCGGCAGCTTAATTAACATGGAGTAACAAGAACCACTTCTATTTGCTCGCTCTTGAGAGTAGTTACACTTAAAGGAGCAAAATACAATTAAATGGAGCAAGGAACAACAGGGGCACAGTAATTAGGTTCTGCTATATGTAAGAGAGGTATACTCCCTAAAGTAGAATTAAGTACAGGTTTTTGATTGGATCGCAAGCTCAAAGCAGGATAACTTAGTCTAATCAGGAGCTCCGCTTTTAGGCTTGGCTAGATCTATATATGATCTACGACGGAAATAGATCATCTACCACGATATGTGTCTCGGTGTAATTTCTGACAAATTTAATTTCGGTGGTAAATTCTTCATCTAACGACTTACAACTTTAGCCAGGTATTTGTGTTGTTCTTGATAGAGCGGTTTTCACTTGAGTGTCGAAAGTAATTTGCCTTTGCTTCTGTTTTGTATCGCTACGCCAAGAGATTGGCTTAAAAAACGTGCGCCATTTTGTCATCGAATCAGTAATAAAACCAAAACCAACTGTGACTCGCTCAAACAAGTTTCCCCTCCCTTCGCATCAGCTACAGGTATTTGCTTGGAGATTTGAGTAATTTAGTGTGTTGTCTGTCTCCTTTGTGATTGGCTACAGTTATTACTTTAATTTTGGTTTTAGGATACTCAAATAAAACCGCGCTATCTAGCATCTCAAATGAATTGCTCACATCTCTTGACGCATTTCGTGTCTTTCGTCTCTTTAGCGATTTACTATTACCGCTGGTCACAGGACCCGTTTACCCAAGGCTCATATTCAGAACCTGTTGTGGGCTTTACTTCCGAGGATTTTAACAAGCTTGGACAGAACCTGGGGCGACTCTACTTTGCTGGCGAAGCGACGAGCAAGGAGTGGTATGGTTACATGCAAGGAGCCTACTTGACTGGAGAAGAGAAAGGGAAATTGATCGCGTGTCAAATTCTCCCAAATGAGAGTGAATGTAAAGCTCCAGAGAAGAAAAAGCCGAAGAGTGAAGCAACGTTTGCAGCGAGATCTGCAGCTGGAGTTTTGGTGTTTTCTTTTTTGTGTTCACTTTTGTGGATGTAAACTGTAGTTTAACAAGACTGTTCGTTTAAGAGACGTTTTTTTGTAGTAACCTACAGAAATATCGTTCATCCGTAGAGTTAGATTGAAGTTAACTGATAGGTTTTATCCATCAATACTTTTGTCAGGTATAAGCCTTCTGAAACTCATTGTTATTACAAATGTTAACCTAAAAAGCAAAGCTCAATAGAGATAACCATTACTCGTTTTTCGTTGCCTGCGCACTCGTTTGAAATGATTGTTTTAGCGTCTTGTGTTATAGTGTGCCAGTATCGACCATCGAACTACAAGTCCTTTTTAGCGGTTTTTGATTTTCCTTTCAAAAATGTCGATCACATCATCGGAAGGCAAGCTAGCGTTTGGTTATTTTCGGTTGCTATTTCTGCTCTAGTTTAGGCCTAGACTAACTCTTAAGAGTTTAAAGAGGGTGGTAAAGGGGGGATACAGATCACGTTTCATGGAAAATAAAGCAGTCCGTTCACAATTCACGAAAAATACAACATTGGCAGTTCACGCTTCACGGAAAATAACAGAGAACGTTTTGGAAAATCACGGTTCACGGCGACTATGGAAATCACGATTCACGAGGAAAAACATGGCTATTTCACATTTCACAGGAAATAAAAAGGGCCGATCACGGGTCACGAAAATACCCTTTACCACCCTCTTTAAAAGGGAATGTTTTCGGGCAGGAAACCAGCGTTGAACAAGTGAAACTCTTAGTACAAGAATCTAGCCAATCATACCACGTGTCTCCAGAGCCTTCTTTTCCTGTGCCTAGGCCTCACCCGCTTTAGCAGAGGGACAGGTCGCTCTGGGAACGAGAATAGAATAAATGTAAAGCTTTGTGATTACCTTCACAAGAAACGGCTCATTTTCGCCTTGATGCAAGAAACTTCAGAGGGAAAAATGTTGGAATTCACTGTTCGTGGGAAGAACAAACGTGATACGTAATTTAACTGTTTTAAAGTCCCTGAAAGCCACCCTTCTTAAACTCTAAGCTTGTGACAGAAGGTCTAGACACTCATGAATTAACCCAGAACTACAATAGCACGAGCTGTTGACATAATGATGTTTTGAAAAAGAAAATTTTCATTCTGAAAATCGAAATAAACGCGTGATTGTCTTTTCTTTTTTTCTCGCCGTGTTTTCTTTTATTAAAAAAATACAAAAATTTTTCCGTGTATTTTTCTATCGCGTTTTATCGGAAACACTCAAGAAACTTTCAACTGGAAGGAGAATCTCGAAAAAGCTGTGGAAACACTCGCCACCGGCTGCTCGTGTTCGGACAGCATTTCTTGTTCTCCTAAACTCCCATTCGTGTTTCTGTAATTCGATAGTAGAAACACGGAAAACGCTTTCTATTTCTAATTTATATGAAGAAGAATAGTTGGCGTAACTTGGCTTAACTAACGTAAAGTAAGATACTATTACAAGTTACGTGCCCGGGGAACAGTGCTGCCTGGATCTCTGCGCGCAAATTTGTTGATAATAACGACTAATAATTGTTCCGCACCAGCCTGAAAGAAAACAATATTTTTAACCGTCAGGTTTTGTTTGTTTCAGTGAGTTTGCTGATTTATTTGACCTTTCTGACCCGTGACGTGAGGTTGATAGGCACTGAAATCTTCGGAACCACCCAGTATGCAAAAATCACTAATCATTCGACCGTTGCGTGTGACAATATTTGTTGCGTCGACCCTGCTACTATACACAGTCAAATTGGGAAATCATAGCGCCAAACTAGGTATTTATCATTGTGTTTTTATTCCACATTCTAACAAGGTGCAGGTCAAGGTATAATCTGAGAAAAAAATTGGCTAGGCATACTTATGCGACAATAACCCCCAGGGAATAACCCTTCCACTCGCGAAGACAACCTTGGGTCAGTCAACTAAACGATGTCATAACTTTTAAGCTTAGCCGTGCACGAAGCTTCGTGTTGAACAGCGAAAAGCATCTAACAAAACGAAACGAATTTAAACCGAACTCTTCCAAAACTGTGGGGATGCAAATTAAGTCGTAAGTAGTTTAAGAATGTTGACAGCCACTCATCGGAAGGATCGATCGACTCCTCGCGCTCGGCTAATGTCACATTTTTGCTCAGGTTGTTTTGGTATATTGTTTACAGAATGCACATCACGAGAATTACGATCTTGGTTGTGATGCTGTTCGTATCGGTGGAAAGATCTTCACCTTCACCTGTGAAGGTTAACAAAACCAAAGTCCTCATCCTTGGCGCTGGACTCGCGGGAATCAAATCAGCAAAAACACTGATGGACAAAGGCATCACTGATTTTCTGATCCTTGATGGAAAGAATTACACTGGAGGCAGAATACATGCTGCGCCATTCGTGGGTTTGAATATCGAGGCAGGAGCGAACTGGATTCATTTCACAGATGAAGAGGACACGGCGCCACTTGTGAATCTGAAAGATGCCAAAAAGATGAATGGCATTCGTAGTAATTTCTCCGACTTTGTTGTGAGGTAAGATAGGTCTTACAAACTCGGTCTCAGGGATAGGTCATGACAACTTTATTGAGAGACAAAAATGGCAATATTTCCACTCGACATGAAATGATAAAAAAGAAAGAAAGAAAAAAACATAAGAATTGGAGTAATGTGCTTGCTATTGTTATGTCACACGTTCGGCAAGATTTTCAAAATTGCTCCGAAACCGATGAACCACAAGAATTTCCTGTTTTAAGTTATTTACTTACCATTGAGTTTCGCGCAGGAGTTTCCTCTTCTCCCTCTCAGCTAACTCCAACTTACGTCTAAAGCTTAGGTCAAAAGCTCCAGCATTTTCGAGGTATCAACTTTACCCAGAATTGTTAGATAATAATGTTAGAAACCATCAGTCCACCTTGCATGTTAGTACGAAGGTGCGATTCAAGTCAAACTTTTGCTCAGCATAGTGTTCTGACATTTGGAAAACCGTGTGGAACATTGCAGTATGTTGCTTTGTAATTTTGGTCGCAATGTGACAATGTGTCGTCACTAGGCCCAACAATGTTGTAAGAGTTGGATCAAAATGGAGGGAAGGACGGAGACTAAAGCAACGGAAACATCAGAGAATTAAGAGAGTGTCTCTGAAAGGGATGTGTCGAAAACGAAGACCCAAAAACGAAGACCGAAGACCTAAGACCCACCGGTCTAAAACGAAGACCCTGTGGTCTAAAACGAAGACCCAGCGGTCTAAAACGAAGACCCACTGGTCTAAAACGAAGACCCTGTGGTCTAAAACGAAGACCCACTGGTCTAAAACGAAGACCCACTGGTCTAAAACGAAGACCCTGTGGTCTAAAACGAAGACCCACTGGTCTAAAACGAAGACCCTCTGGTCTAAAACGAAGACCCATCGGTCTAAAACGAAGACCCACCGGTCTAAAGCCTTTTTTTTCTTCAGGAAAGACCATACACTAGGCTAAATTGCTTTCGTTTTTGTAGCGCATAAATTAAAATGTCATCTGAGCGCGCGGCAAACTTTACAGTTGCTTTATCTCAGTCGGTACAACGTGTCAAATTGTGTAACGCAATGAAATTCCAACAGTATAGAAATATACGTTTTAGTGACGATTTTAGTATA